GAATAGTATCTCAATTAAATGAGCTTGTGCCCAAAGCTCTAGTTCATAACCTGTTCTATTGCCATCTCAAATTATGCCCTAGCTTGTCCATGATGAACTTTCTAGAAGAAAATCCAAAACTTGGCTGTCAAAATTTGTCTCCAGTTTGACTTTACACCTTCTTAATATGAAGTTTTCAGGGAGGAAAAAAGGGATCAAATTGCTTTTTCTTTTAAATCACAGCACAAAGTAATCAGTGCCAACTTGTGTTAAAGTCCAACATTGAACTCTCTGACCACTGTGAATTAAAGTTCAAACATCAGGTCTTGTTGGTCTCTGGAAGTGAACTTAGATCCCAAATCAGAAGCTTCCCTTCCCCCAGGGAGCCTACTAAGTTTACAGGGGTTCCCCCAGCAGGAGCAGTTGTCTATCAACCTTGAGATATGAAGTAGTCAGGAAAGAAATGTTGGTCTCTGACTTCAAAGAGGAAAGACAAAGGAGGATAATGGTGGATTGCTTAAGTACCAAGCTCACTCATCTGAAAATTCACTGGCAAGCCTGGAGGACAGGATCAACCTTCCTTCTCCATGTATCAGGAACTATTTTCAACAATAAAGAAATGTTTCCCCTAGGATAGGAAAGAATTACAAGAAACAGACTCTCTTATTTAAGAAATAAGGTGGGTTTTTTTTAAGATTTATTTATTCATTATGTATACAGAAGAGGGTATCTTCTTAACCAGATCTCATTACAGATGGTTGTGATCCACCATGTGGGTGCTGGGAATTGAACCCAGAGCCTCTGGAAGAGCAGTCAGTGCTCTTAACCTCTAAGCCATCTCTCTAGCCCAAGGTTTATATTTATAAGTAATATTTATTAGGTATCCAGGTAGAAATTTGTGATAGTTGGATGCTGCCTAACATCCAACCACTAATATGTGTAACATGTCATGTATGTCAATGCCTTGTATTTAGAGTGTTGTATCAATGCCCTATCCAGAAAAGTAACACAACCTCATTCCTTGTGAGTTGACATAGCAATGTATTTCTTATTCATAGGATGTCATGTGTTAGCTAGAAGCTCTTTTCAGCTTCATCCTAATTCTAGGGATCTGAATGATGAAATTAGCCATCATTTGCAACATCACTGGAGATTGCCAACCCCCCTCCTCAGATACCTGTTTTCTCATTTTAAAATTCAGCTAGACCTATGACTGCTTTTTACCAACAAAGATGTGTTGTTTCCAACTTTAGATTTAGAAAGACCTAGAAGTTCTTGTCCTTTTCCTTTCTAAGTTCTGAGCCAGCAGGCTATTCTTCTGGAGAAGCCATGTGAATAAGGCTCTGGAAGACAATGGGAGAGAAAAACTCAGCCACAAAGGTAGAGAAGCTTTCCAATCATTTCTGCCTGGAACCTCATGAGAAACCTCAAAGCAAAATTAAACAATGCCCCATGAGCTTTCAACCCACAAAACCATGAGAGAAAACAAAAGTTGCTTGTTCAAAATTACTAATGGTAGTTATAGGACAATATATAATGAAAATATTTTGTCACCCTGGCAAAAGGAGAGAGCATGAGCAAGGTGCACAGGTATTCTAAGCTTTTCTTTGGAAGTGACACAAATAATTTCTGGGGGTCGGGGTGAACACAATACGTAACCAGTATTAGCATCTCCTCAGGAGAACACAGGGCTGCAGAGGAGCATCTCCATGAGATAACTGGTAATCAGGAGTACATGCAGTACTAAGGAACCAAAGTTAAAGAATATGGGCAGAGAACGTAGATGACAGTTTGTAAATGACCTCTAAACAAGGTCAGGGTAGGGAAGAAAAGGAGGGGAAGGAAGTTGGAGGCCAGCCTTAGGTACATACATAATGAGTCTGAGTGTAGTCTGGGCCTCACAGTGAGATCTTGCCTCAAAACAATAAAAATACAGCAGTCAAGAATAAAGAGCCAAAACAGGTGAGAGAGGGAAGAGATCCAGAGACACTCAAAGAAAGAAATCAGTCACAAGCCTCAGACAAAGGGAGAGAAAGGAAAGTAATATTGGACAGGTGGAAATTCAAGAAGGGCATTCAATGAGACAGTAGTGTAAGCGGTCTTGGAGTGGGTAATGAATACAGCAAATGGGGACCCCGAGACAGACTAGAATAGGAAAAAATCATCACTTTAAGAGAGGGTATCTCATAGCCGGGCGGTGGTGGTGCACGCCTTTAATCCCAGCACTCAGGAGGCAGAGGCAGGCGGATCTCTGTGAGTTCGAGGCCA